TGAAAGTGGCCACCTGGAGTGGAGAGCCGTCTGGGAGAGGCAGGCCTGAAGCCTCTAGAGCAGCAGTCCTTGTGAGCCTTTTAGAGTGTTCATTATTATAAACAGCTCACTGCAGCACATATGCTATAGGTTCGCCACCACTGCTCTACAAATTGACTTCTAGAATTTTTGGGGCACAGTGGTAGCAGTCATGTAACCTAAGTAAATGTGGCGTTCTAAGGTATAACTTACAGTGTTCTTATTTAGATGAGGCTATTGAAAAATATGTTTGTTTAACTTAAGTCCTCTAGAGTAGCATAATTTCATTTTTTTTTTTTTTTTTACTGCATCTGTAAGTAGGGCTATGAGAATGTTCTTTAGAATGAGTATTGTCTTACTAGAAAAATGCTTCCTTTAGAGAGTCTTACTGACCTATTGTAAATTGTTAAAACATTTTGGAACTGTAAAATCATCAGAATGCTGAAGAAAATATTTGTTTTGGACTTAACAATGGCAATATATTTGCTTTCTTGGAGAATACTGCTGCCAAAATAGGCATTTCTACCAGCTAGCAGATGGTTTAGTTATCAGGCCAGTTTTTTTGTTTACTTATCATTTCTTTCTTTCTTTCTTTTTTTTTTTGCTTCACACTTAGTTCATTTTAGAAATACTTGCTAATGTCAGTTGCCTTTGTATGTTTCACCTTCTCTAAATTAAAAAAAACTATATTTTTATTGCAGTTTTTTCAATGAGCAGCAGCTGAGGATGCCAAATTTCAGTATTCCTTCAAATGTTCCTATTGGTTCATGTTAGAGTACAAAGTTTGATCGTTTTACGTAAAAGCTTGAGTAATACTGGCTAACAACAAGCACTTAGCTATCAAATAATAATTTCCTATGCTTTACATTAAAATGAAATGGAAGGGGGCTGGGGATTTAGCTCAGCAGCATAAGTACCTGCCTTGCAAGCAGGCAGTCGTGAGTTTGATCCCTGGTACCGATAAAAATGGAAAAAGACAATAAAAAAAACTTAAATGGAAAAAAACTGAAAAGAGTTTATGGTAATTAACATACTATAATTCTAATTACAAAAATTTTCCATTGGTCATAGATTTATATCTCAACTCAAGGCAAAACTTTTTTGAATTCTTGATGATGTACATTTTAAATATATGCTTGACCTAGTGTATGTTACAAAACATTTCTTTGTTTTCTTAAATGTATAGCTTTCTAGTAAGAAAACATTCTGTCTTTTTCAATATTTTGTGTTAAAATATCTTTGAAATGTTTGCTTATTTTTGTAATGCTAAAGGAAATATTTGATTTCAACTCTTAAACCAGACTTCTGTTATTTCTATGAGTGGTTTTAAAGTGTGTTAACTAAAAACTGTTAGGTGGTGATAGCAGTGTCCTTTTTTTGCAAAATTTGTTAGATATATATATATATATAAGAAACATTCTAAGTACATTTAGTTGATTCTTCTCTGAATGTAGTACTCTTAAGAAATGGTATGACATACAGGATAACTCTAGGATGTCATCTTAGTAATCTAGTGTTTGTTCTGTGAAGATGTAGAGATGCATTTATCAATTCACTGTACTCTGTATATTGTCAGTTTTCTTCTATATGTTGTGTAATGTGTATTTGTGATATTCAGTGATGCCCGTCATACTTAGGAACCTGATTTTGATAATTTATTATAGTTATTAACTTATTGAGGCCATTTTGTTGGTGTCCAGTGTAATCCACCTGCGTCTCTTCAACTCTTCATATAAGATGAATGTATCATTTAAAAAGTATAGTTAATTTGAAAAGCCCAGTTTTATGGTTTGGATTTTGAATGTCTCCTAAAGGCCCAAATCCCAAAGACTTGGTTGCTGGCCAGTGGCACTATAGGAAGGTGTTAGAATATTTGGGAGGCAAGTCCTAGTGGAAGGGAGTTAGATCATTGAGGGTGTGACTTTGAAGGTCAGATTGAACACCAGTCCCTTCCTCTCACTTTCATTTGCCAGCTGTCAGTAGTAAGAGGCCTTCTCTGTCGCAAGTCCTCTCGCCATGATGCATTCACTATGCTGCCACAGGCCCCAAGCAACAAGACTAACTAACCATGGACCAAAACCTTTGAAGATATGAGCCAAAATAAGTTTTACTCCTTCTAAATTGTTACGTCTAGCATTTTATACCAGCAGTAGAGAGCTAAAACATCCATTGAAGTAATTTATAAAATAACCATTTCTCATATATTAAAAATCTTTTTTAAATCCTTAGTTAAGTATATTTCTAAACATAGAATATTTAATCATTTCTCTTTAGTAAATCCCACTTGGAAATACTTGGAAATACTTAGTGAACATTTGGAAACCAGACACCACAGTACAATTGAAGTAACCATCAGTGATGGTCGCTTAAGGTGACTGTGTTTTCACCAAGTTTTATGTGTGAACTTTATGATCCAAGCTCTTTAAAATGTGTAAAGAAAAATTCAAGTCCTTAAACCAGTGTTCTGGAGATCAGATGTTACATTGATAACTATTTTCTTCAAATTGGCTTGAGTACCATTTAGTAAGTTTAGGTACGGGCATATGATGAGCTTGCCTAACTTCTGTAATTTTAGTTTTATAAAAAAACTTTAAATTAATGTCTTGGTTATTTTTCTCTGGTGGCTGAGACAAAATATCCAACACCCAAAATTAAGGAAGGAAATGTTTATTTAGCTCACAATTTGTGGAGGTTTCAGTCCATAATCAGTTGGCTCCAAGGCAGGGTGACAAGACATGGGAGCAACACTTCAGGGGAGCAGCCAGCAAAAAAGCAGCCAGAGCTAATATCAGGGAGAACAAGCCTCTTCTCTCTGATATTGTAAGCAGGCTACCCCCCTCTCCACACCAAGGGAGGTGTAGCGCTCACACCACCCCTGTGCCTTCCTCTTGCACAGCTGAGGATATTTACAAAGTAAGCATCTTGGCTCCTTGCTGAGTCTCTTGGTTAAATTTTTAAACTTCTCAAGTTGGAACAAGGTATCAACTATAAGAATAAGTGAAGGCCAGAAAAAAATTGTATTTTCTTATAGAAATGAGAGACTATTCTCTGTTTGTAGTAAGGTTTTCTAGCTTTGAAGTTTTAAGACTATTCTTGATTGAATACGTTAATTGTACTTGTGTTTGGGATCAGAGAAATAAATGGAGAAATTTTATTTAATGATTATAGTGGTTTAATAAAGGAAAAGATACTTGAAGTGCAGCATTAAAACACTGTTTAAATCCCCTCTGAAGTTTCTTTATCATGGTTCCTGTTAAAAAATGATTTTTGTGGGTGCTTTAAGTATGTGCCAGGCCCTGTGTTAAGTGTTTTTCCTGTATTTTTAAAGTTTGGTTTGTGCTTCGGAAAGTTGAAGTTGTCATATAATTTTGTATTTGAAACATGAATTGTTTGGGTTAAAAATGTTCACGCACATTGCTACAAACAAATCAAGTGTAGCTGTGCAGTGGGTGGTTTTTAAGCTTAAATATCTCAGCTAGATTTAATTACCTTAAGGGATAAGGCTTCATGATGGGCCAGTGGTTTACCAAATTATTTTTCGTTTTCTGGATCTTGATGTCACTGAAGGTTAATGTATCCTCTTTTCTTTGCTAGAGACCTAAGTTTAAATCCATTTTAAGGCGTAAGCGTAAATGAATTTGTTGTTGTTTTTTCTCCTTGGGGACACATTGGTCATTTTGTGAGTCTGTCTTTACATTTGGAATTGTTGGCAGCTTGCACAGGGCCCAGGGGCTCCAGCAGCAGGGGCAGTGGCAAGTCAGCATGAAAATGAACTGGCAGGCTTCAGAGGGCAGAGCTGGCCCAGGGCTTGTCACTCTTCCATCCCTTGATTCTTTCTTGCTTAACTTAAGGAAACTTATTTGCTACTGACATTTGATTATAGCATATCACAAAACAAGTGATGTGTTTGTGAGTTAGCATTGCTTTTTTAAAATTTTCTATTTAACTGTTTCATGTAGTTTATATTTGGCAGCTTCCAAGCTTTCTGTATTCAGTGTTCACAAACTCCTAGATGAGTTCTTAGAGTGTTATAGATCCGTAGACAACGTTTTTGTTCATCAGTGTGTTTCAAGGCTTATATTATCTATTACTTTTGTATAAATGCCTTATTTTTTAGGGCATCTTCATATTCATAATTAATTTAATGATTTTTACTCAGAAGTAAATAGCCTTTTCAGGGAATTAGTTGTATGCCTTAGTCTTTCAAGAAGTTGGTTTGCACTTTTCTCGCCAAGCTTAGTTTATAATCTCTTTCCTATTATTATTGTTTTTTCTTTTACATTCTTTGTTTTTCCCACTTTATTTTTTTTTCTCCCCAAGGAGTAGTAGAGTATTTGCTTCATGTTTTTCTTTAAAAAGATAGAAAATATTTTTATCCATGGACAAAAATATACTTTCATGTATCATAACATATGTGCTTTTTTTTTTCTTTTTTTACAGAATTTCAAAGTGAATTACTTTAGGTTCCTATAGATTCTTTTATTTTTTCCATTTAAAGGCATCACTATGACAGTTTGATTCATTCCTTCTTTTTATCCTTAAAATCTTCCAAGCTGCTTTATACCAGTTGTATCTTCCTTTCTGTAGTTTTTCTTGTATTCATTTTTCAAAATAGATCAGTATAGGAAGTGGGATGTTTGCTGTTTTCCACTTGTAGCATTCATGTAAAAGATGTACTTACCTTTGTGTGTATGTATGCATGTCCTTTGAGAGGCAGTATATATAAAAATAAACAGTACATGCAGCTTTGTTGTGGTGCTTTACATGTTTTAATATTTAATTTTTTCATTTATTTTTCCTAGATAATAAACTTTTTAAGGACAATAGTAGGTTTGTCTACATGATGCTGTGTAAAACCTGATGTATGCTGATAGGGTTCTCATAAACTTTCTTTTGAGAGTGCTTTATATGTCTTGTTTCTTAATCATAATATTGTTAGGTTATTTAGTTATACTTAAAAGGCCATTTGTTTTCCTTTTCAGGTGTCAGCAGTAGAGTCTTTGGAGGGTCCCCTGCTCCAGGTGGAAGGATTAAGTGACCTCAGGCTGGAGCTTCACAGTAAGAAGATGAACCTCCACCTGGTTCTCATAGATGAACTACACCGGCACTTGTACATCAAATCCACTAGCCGAGTTGTGCAGAGTAACAAGGAAAAAGGGAAAATGAGGTTGGTTAAAAGGTTTCTTTGCTGTACTGTCTTGTGGCAATTATCAAAAGAAGTATTTTTTTTTCTAGAATATCGTAGTATATTTTACCTTTTCTTTAATGTACTATCTCTGAAACTTGAACATGGACTTATAACAGCAGTTGTTCATGTTTTGAGAGACTGACATCAACGTTTGTCTGTTCATTTATTGTACTCTTGAGTAGGACATGTAAGAAAAATTTCCTGTGGGCCTCTTACAGCATAAGAGGCACTCTTGTATATCTTAAAAGGAAGTGAAAAAATCCATAAATTGGGCAGTGTAGTCAGCGAAGCTGAATTAAAAAATATAGGTATATGAACTAAAGTTTTAGTATCTTTGTTACTTAGGGATATGTTCAGTTTTAGGCAATTTTCTTACTGCAGTAGTTCAGGAGAGGTTCAAACAGAACACTTTTCTTTCATCTCTGTAGGTGATTGTAGTGTAGTTCTACATTTAAGGGTCTGGGTGGGCCCAAGAAATTCATTCAGTTAGTATAGATCTGATAGGGAGTATGACTAGATCTTAAAATACTAGAATATGGGACTTTGAATGTATCTCAGTTGTGCTTAATAGGTATCCTTGCATCATTGCTTTAAATAGCCATGCAGTCTTTTCAGAGAGAATTTTTGGCACTGTCTACTGAAGTATACATGTTTATACATGCAGCTCTGACCAAAAGAACACTAGAAGTAGATCACATTGGGAATGATGTCTTCAAGCCCTACCCTGTTTGAACAAAAAGTGTCAGCTTTATGCATGATTCTTCAGTTTAGTTGTAGACCTTAATAGAAAAAGATACTTATAACTCATTTCAGCGTTTGGGGACTAGAAAAACTTTTTGCTAGACACAGAAATTGAGGTAGGAAATGAGCACTGGAGAGTATCTTTAAGACTAGATCTGAATAGGAAAACTGTTAGCTATCCCTTTTATCAGAGAGTAAAGTTGTGTGTGTGTGTGTGTGTGTGTGTGTGGCAGGTGCTAAGGAAAATTTAAACTCTAAATAGATTTCTTTCCATGCAAAGATAAATAATAAAATTGTTGTGAGTCCTGTGTAAGTTCCCATATCTAAATGGAAAAATGAACTTTATTTTGAGGTTATAGAGGAAGGATATTTACTTGAAAGAAGGGTTTTGTAAAGCAAACAAGAAAAATCCTGAAGATTGTAGCTTGAGATTTTTCAAAAGATGCAAGAAGCATGATGTAGTAGATTTGATGATCATAATAACTACTCCTTCCTCTTCCACTTGAATGGGAGAAGAATATATTCTATCCTTTGATTTTGGGGTGTTTGCTTTTGTGATTCATTAAGATGTGTAGCAAGTGGACGCTTGAAATGTGCTTATGCTGGTGAGCATACCCTTTTGTACCACTGGTGTTTGTCCATGCCGATGCTTGTCCCAGGAGGAAGAAGAGAGACACACCAGGAACCAGCATATCTACCTCATGTTGGGTCAACTAGTCTCTAAAATGGAAAATAAGTGCTTGGTTTTGAACATCAGTGAGCACTGATTGTGTGCAGTAAGCACATAGCTTCTATGAAACAACAATGGAGAACTCTTAAGAGTGCAATAGGGAGAGATACTAAGTGAACTAAAACATGAATATAGTGTTAGAAAAACAAAAAATGAAGTGAATAAATTTAAATGTTTAAAACATGGAAGAGAAGAATTGGGTCAGTGCTGTATAGGAGGAACTTTCTTCCTTCATGAAGAGGAAAAAGAAAACATGATGTAGAAAAGATAATAAATATGAAAGATAGGAGTACCCTATGCAGGGATTTTAGATATTCCAGAAGATGACACTAAAATGGAAGTGTTAGGGACTAATTATGTTTTTATTAGTGTAGATATTTGTATTTAAAGGTTATGTATTGTTTAAAAATCCCCAGAGGAGACAGTCACATAAGCCTATGGTCTATTTCAAAGGATGATGCATAAGGTAAGGCTCTTGATTGCAAAAAGCAGAAATCAGTCCTGATAACTAGAAGAAGAAAGAAATTTACTGGAAAATTATCTGGTATTTTACAGAATCTATGGGAAGTTTGCATAGTCAGGTTCTGAATTCCAGTAGGAAACAAGGCCACTCTATGTACAATCTTAGCCACAGGAAGGGTCTGCTACCGTTGCTATCACGGCTGGCACCATGCATATCGTGGCTGGATTTAAAATTCTCCTGCACACAATCTTTAATTTCTTCTTTGTTTTATCTCCTGAAAATTTAAAGTCTTGTGTAGAAGCATCCATTTGCTGAGAAGGCTGGCCTGTATCTGGTCTCCTTTAACTTCTACAGTAGGAAGTAGAGCTCTCTTTTCAGTTTGACTTAACAATAGAAATTTGATGCAAATATGAAGACAGAATATATAAATGTATATTCAGGTATTTGACTATAAACAAGCAGCAAACACTCAACAACATTTGTATTACAAGAAAAAGTAACATAAATCACTTGGAGGCATAGTCATATGAAGACAGAGCTTTTTGAAATAGAAAATAAACCACTCATGGAACTGACACATAAGAGAGTATACGTGCTCACTCATGATGTAGATTCCAATTAAATTCCAGTTGATTTTTTGAAACTGTTAAATGAAATCTGAAGTTCATGTGGATTAATAAATATGAGAATATAAGCATTGTTTAAAAATTCAGAAGGTGATACGAAGGTAGTTTTATTACATGATATTAAAGTATATTACAAATCTACTTGAAGTGCAAGTGTACATAGAAAATCATATTTCTGTGACTAGTTAGTTCAGAAACTAATCCTGGGATTCATAAGACTTTAGAATTTTTAACAATAGTTCAGTTAATTGGAGGAAAATGGTGTTGAACCAGTTGACTGTTGATTTGAAGAAAATAAATTTAGATACCTATCTTTTTTACATACAAAAATTCTATCTAGATTGAAAAACCACATGATAAAACTATATTAGTAATAGAAAAAATAATATAGAAGGGTATGTATGGAAGAAGCTTTCCAAAGCCTATCGATAAATATAAACATCACTGTTAAATAATTTAGCTATTTAAAAATTTAAAGAGAATCTATAGTAACAGAGAATTCAAAAGGTAAAACACAGACTCAGAAGACTATATAACATTTCAGGATTTGATATCTAAAATATAATAGGGATAAGAGGTAATTATAAATTTAAGCAAATGTAAATGAATAATTCACCTAGTAAATTATGTCATATGATAGAGATATCCAACATTGAGAAATCCAAAGGCAAGTTTTTGATCATCAGGTAATCAAATTAAGGACATTCAAGGAATGCTGTTTTACAAGGATAGGGGAAATGAATATTTCTCCCTTTGTGGTTCAATAACCAATGTACCTTTTTAGAAAATAAAAATTTGTATATTCTTCAAATTCTTGAATATACTTCATATTCTGAAATTTCATTTCTGAGTCTATATGCAGAAAAAAAATAACAGCTCATATAAATTTATGTAACAGATATTCATTGCATTATTAAAATAGATGTAGTAGGATGTTCAGTACAACATTATTAGTAAAAAGAACAAAGAACCCCATGTAACTTTAATATTCATTGAGAAAAGTATGTTTGTACACATGATAATTCCACATAATACTTAACTTATAATGAATGAGAAAGATTTCTATGTGCCAATGGGTTAAGATTTCTAAGATGTATTATTGGGTCCAGAAAGCAAGTTGAAAGCCACTCTATGTTATTTGAATTCACTGTGCAAAAATTGCATAGATAGATATTTAAATATGTATCTTCTGTACATAGACATGAGTATTTGTGTATAGAAAATTCCTACAAGTATAACGCCAAAGCACTCATAAGGAGTTAGCTGTGAGAGGTAGAAATGGAGAGTGAAAATGGAAAAGGACTTCTTTTTCTGCACCAGCTACATGTATTGCTTTAATAGCACCATAATGATTGATGATGAATCTGAAGAGTCTTAAATGAAATGGGAAAATGTTTAGGTTATAATGTTGAAGAGAAAAACTAGCATTCAAAACTATCCAGGATAATTCAAAAAAAGTTGAAAACAGAACATGTGTGGCCTTCTCGCATGTGTATGTGTGAGTGTGTTTGTACATGTAGGGGTGCAGATAGACAGACTTTTATGGAAGCTCTTATTTGGTTTCTCTTTTATTTTTCTGTTTTCAAGTCTGTTTTCTTTTTTTTGTCTTTTTCCTTTTTATCGGTACCGGGGATCAAACTCACGACCGCTTGCTTGCAAGTCTGTTTTCTTGTTATCACTTATTTCCAATTTTTTCCCTTTCATGGCTGAGACTTTAGGGTTTTTAGTGTCATTTTATTGTCTATTACCATGTCTTTGACCTTGGTTTGTCATTGAAACCATGGCTACTTTAAACTTTTGTATCCTCTAAGTCACTCATTTCTTTCTATATGTTCAGCCAAAGCTGTTTCATTGTTTAGTTAAATTTTCTTATTAAGGATTTATTATCTTTGAAAAATATTTCTCAGATCAGTCTGATTCAGTATATCTTTATGAGCATTTGTTTTTTTTTTTTTTTTTTTTTTTTGGTACTGGGGATTGAACTCAAGACCTTATGCTTGCCAGGCAGGTGCTTAGGCCACTGAGCTAAACCCCCAGCCTGAGCATTTGTTCTTTGACAGGTACTCTGCCAGCAGTTCTGATTATAGAGGTAAATATAATAGTTATTAGAATTATACCTTAAAGTTTTGCTCACTTGTCTCTTTGGTTTGACAATAAAATCAGCCAAATGAGCTGGGTAATAAATTTCAGACATAGTTGGCCCATTTACTATTAAGTGAAGGTATAGAAAAATACTCTAATTAAAATGCAAATGTTTGATAAGCTATTAGTACTTCTAACTTTTCTTTTTAAAAAAGAAACAGTTTTTGTGGATTGAAATTTTGAAATTGAGCATATTTAGAGGCACATCCTACCTGGATAGATGGTTGATTGATGGGCAGAAAGTCCTTTGCGTTATGGTGGCAGTAATTGTTTCTTTTTAATGCAGGTTAATTTACTTTATAGTTTTCCTGTCTTTTACTATGTTATTAAGTAGGAAAATACTTTCACTAACAATATATAATTGATTATTTTGGTCCATCTAGTGTATCTTATTCTAGGTGGGATTTACTGTACTAAATTGTTTAAGTATGAATGTTACTAATAGACTTAAAGTAATCCTGTGGTGTTTAAAAAGAAAATAGCTCTTCTCAGTATTTTTCAAAACAAAGCTTTCAGAGCATTCATACTAATTACAAATTTAAAAAGAATAATATATATATATATATATATATATTTTTTTTTTTTTTTTTTTTTTTTTTTTTTTTTTGTCTTTTTCATTTTTATCTGTATACCGGGGATCGAACTCATGACCGCCTGCTTGCAAGGCAGGTGCTTATGCCGCTGAGCTAAATCTCCAGCCCCAAGAATAATATATTTTTAATTCACTTTTTATTTTCTAAAATATTTAGAGAGATTAAAAACTGAAGGAATTAATACTTTTTGAATTTTATCTATGATGTATGGTGCGAGGGGGCTTTTTTTTTCTCTTCTGACATGGAAAATATGTTCCCTAATATTGTATTGTGATACCTTATGTATATGAATACCTACTTTTCTACTGAGCTTCATGCCTGTAGTCATTAGTCATGCCTGTGTGTCCTTTTCTCTGGAACTTTTGAAACTGAATCCTTCTGTAGAACAAAAAAAAAAAGCCTAAAAATTATTTCCAGAGTCACTTGCCTTTGTGTTAGTGTTCACAAAGGAGAAAATTGAGACCTAAGGGAAAATTTTAGAGAGAGAAGGAGAGAGAGATGAGTCTATGAAAATAGTTTTGCAGTAAATTGACTTTCTAGAAGTTTATTGATGCAGTTTGAGGACCCTTCTGGCTCTGATTATAAAGTTGAGATGTTATGCTTTTCAAAGTTGAAATGGCAAGCCGTTTATCTCTCTGTATTTAACTGAAATACATTTTGGAGGTTAAAACTGAGAAAATAAGTGTAGGTTTTCATCTAACATGAATCATGTGCACATCTGTGTTCACAGAAGTGTGTACTGTTATACCTGTGTGTGCACACTAATGTGCACTGTGTGCATACACAGTAATGCACTGTGTTTATCATTAATTACTCTTGGCAGACAGTATTCCAGCTGCACATATGTCTGAATTTTACTGCTGTTTCTTATCCTCCTTTATAAATAATTCCTCTACTTTGTTATTTAAATATTTATAAAGTGAATTGTACAACTTTCCTGTCATTTAAATTTTAAATTAATTTTTTCTTAATTACTCAGTAATGGCTCTATACCTCAGTGATCATTTTGTTTCTGTGGTCATGTGATCTCAGAGGATAGAGCAGCATGTAGGGCTGCTTGTCTAATTGTGAAATAAAATTGAGGTAGAAGAGATGATACAGTTGGGAGTAAAAAATGAGACAAAAATAGCAAAAATGAAAGGGGATAAATCTATGATCTAATTGATTTTATAAGTATATAAATTATTATGATACAAGATTAGATTTGAAGACTTTAGCTTTTTTAGGATAATTTAGATAATGTGTAACAGGGTAGAAAAATGTTACTAGAATTAACTATGGTATTTCAATTTCTAATTGCTCATTGCTGTTTTTGTTAGTTTTATATTTTATACTTCATGTGAGTTTTATTCAGTATTAGCCTGTAAGTGATTGCAACTATTAGAATACTGCTAAGTTTGGCTTAACTCATATCTTCATCATGCTTGCTTCTTTAGCACTGAGCATAGTGCCGAATCCTCAAGAATTGTTTGAGCAATGGTTCCCACTTCCCTGGTACAAGGGAAAAGGGGCAAGTTAATGACTGTTATAATTATTCTCAAGGCCTACGACAGTGGTTCTCACATTATTAATACCTAGTAAAAATAGTAATACCTTAAGTGATAATTTTACTTTTTAACAAATCTTGTTTTTCAAAATTTTCTGAAAACATAGCTTTTTAAAATTATTGTAAAGGTAAATAGAATGTCGATAATGAAGGTCTGTAGTAGACTGCTGAACTCCCATATATAAGGCCCTGGTTTGATACCAAGCACTGGGAAAAAAAAATTAATGAAATAAAATACACATATCAAAAGCAGTATGGAAAAGAGATGGAAGATATTTACTCTGGTGAGTTTCAGATGTACAGCACTGTACACATCCCTTCATCCTATTTAGAGAGATTCTTCCCATAGGTGTGGGTGGTCCTCCCACCCCTGGCCTGCTCTGCCTTTATGATCCACTTTGAAAACAGTGTTCCTGCTGCTGCTGTGTTTCTGGACTGAAAAGAAGTGAAATTTGTGGCCGTGGCTTCTGTACTGTTGGGACTGGAGTTAGACAAAGTCTTCTGCTGTAGATACAGTATGAGTAGATGATTCAGTTTTTTGAGGGGTAGGACCCTGGTTTTATTTGCCTTGGCATCGCCTACATTCTTACACCTAACAAGTGCTTTTGAATAAGTTACCTTTAAAATTTAATCTTTGCATAATTTAAAATCATTGTGTTTTAGTCATCAAAATGAGAGGCTAGACTATTACTGGAAAAAGTATATACTAAACTTGTTAGATATTTCTTAATTTATTGTAGTGATTCTCAACTTGCTGAATTTGATGAACTTCTTTTAAAACATCTAAAATTAGTGAACTCCCTAAATATGTCAAAAACTGTAAGTTGAAAAACACAAGTTTAAATGAGGCTTAAGTACTGTTAAACTTTCATTAATCAAGGTAACTGTCATTTCTGCTTTTCTTAAGGATTAGGTTAATGCAGATACAAAGAAAGATAATATAGTTGTTTGGCATGATATGTCACTATATGGTGGTCATTCAGATGATCTGTGATATCTTCATACCTATTTTGTTTTATGTAGTTTCAGTGTGAGAAGAGAAAATAAATATGTCTTTCTTGCATATTCCCACTAAGTGATAACATCATGTCCAGGAGTATAAAAGTATATTTTACGTGACACAGTAAAGAGGGGTCCTGATCAAAAGGAAAGTGATAAGGACTGGCGCTGAGTGCTGCTTTATTTGGTTTTTGGAGAAAGTGGTAACTGCTGCTCCATCTCCCCTGCAGCTCTCATGTGAAGGATACCTCTCCTGGCCCTCTGATCGATGTTACAAACCTCCCTACTCCACGAAAATTCCTAGATGCTGCTCAGTACTCTGCTGCTGGAAGCTCAGTTGGTAAGTTTTTCATTCTTCAGTCACTGAACTTTCTATTCTGCTGAAAAGCCTAGGATAACATGGTATGAGCTGGTGGGGCTGCGACTGGGAAGGTCTTGGCTTGGAGCCCTCTCTGATCCTCACAGGAAATACACTATCCAATAACTGACCCGGCCTGTTGCATTATCAGGGTTGAAAACTGGCATTTAACCAAACCTTGCCTGTATAATCTAGATCTGAATATTTTACTTTACCAGCACTGTTTGAATTGCTAAAGTTGATTTGAGTTCTTCTTGATAGAGTGCGTACTTTCCTGGTTTCTGTAACCAGTGTTGTCCTGTGTGTTTTTATCCAGTTGTTTCATGTATTACATTCATGCCTAATTCTTGAAAGCTTCTGAGTGTGTGACTCCTGTCCTCTGGTTTGTTTCTTTTGTATCTTCCAATGGCCTCACTATTCCTAATGTGTCTGTACATGTACATAAACAGAACACATTTTTTTTTCTTTTTTATTGGTACTGGGCATTGAACTCACGACCGCCTGCTTGCAAGGCAGGTGCTTATGCCTTTGAGCTAAATCCCAGCCCCAGAACACATTTTGAAGAAATATCAAAAAATTGGGTAGTTTTTTGGGGTAAGGGGTGTCTTTTAATATCCTGCTGATTAAGGCAAGAGAGCCATTTTGGCCTACATTTAAGGTTAAGGATGTGAGTGACTTACTTTGATGGATGGATGTAAAGATTTAGGGGCATTTTCTACAGCATCTTTAACTTGCCCTATCTGTGAGGTGTCCCTCAGCCAGACTTAGAGAATTTCTGGGTCTCTTTGTCCTTGCTGCTTTTGGTTGGGGATATGAGGATTGGATAGATGAACCTGTGTGATGCTTATTGGGTACACATGTGACAGCCAAACTCCTGAGTGTCTTTCAAAAAATATCAATGTCTGTTAGTTGTCTTTTTACCTAATTGTATTAAGATCTAGAATTTTATAGAGCTTCACATAAAGTAAAAGTAGAAGAGTTAGAATACTTTGGAGTCAATTAGTACATTTTGTATTTGTTTTGAAAGCTTAACAATGTATTGTTGTTACTAGGCTTATTTCGTTAGCCCTTAAAATGACATTTAATTAAATTATTTTAGAGTTATTTAGGCTTGGAATCCTGAAGTTTGTTACTTATACTGAAGAAAATTGTAGAAATTATTTTATAATAGAATTTATTAGTTCACTTAGTTACAGAGTACTTAAAAAATTCCAAACACTAAGTTTTATTATGATATCTTAAAAATTTATACTCAAACTTCCCCATAACGTTAGAAAAGGCTTATTTTTAAAAATCTTTTTCTGACATACTATTGCTTTTCAGACTTTGACAGTACTTTGAACTTCTGTATAGTTATGAATTAAAAATATATTTATACTTTTGATTTATTCTGTACCTCTATAGTTTTTAGAAGTTACCAATTGTTACATCTTTAAACTTTTGTAATGTGAATCATTGCTGCTTAGCTTGATTATATTAATTTATGTAAAGGTTACTGAGCCAAATAAAAATTTTAACTTACGAAGAAATGATTGGGTAGGGTTCTCAAATGAAAGGACTGTATAAGTATCACATAAATGAAAAATGGCAGTTATGGTCAATTCAAGTAGAAACTGATTTTGCTACATTTATTCTTTTTAATAACCAGTCTTTACTGTTTGATGGATACTTTTTCTGTCAGATCATATGGTAGGCTCTTATCACTTGGTAGAGTTCATAGAGACTCTTTGGCCTTACTATGAACAACTCAATAGCATTAAGAAAATGACATTTAGAACTATGTCCAAACTATTTTATTTTTTTCTTTTTGAAACAGGGTTTCACTATGCAGTTCAGGCTTGCCTTGAACTCACTTTGTAACTCAGGCTGGCTTTGAATTCACATCAATCCTCCTTCCTCACACTCCTAAGTGCTGGGATTATTGGCATGTGCAACCATTCTTGGTTTAGACATTTCTTTTTAGAAAGGGTTATTTTTGAGACTGTTGATTTCATGATTTTTCTGTGGGTGAATGAAAAAGAAGATAAAGATATTATTGATTAAAATATTAGTAGTCCCATTTTATAGAGAAAACTGAGGCATAGAGAGATTAATAATTGGCTTAAATTTATAAAGTTGGTAAGTAGAGAGGTGATTTCAATTCAGGACCTGAGTTCCAGAGTATGCTCTTCTAATCAGTTTATTTTGCTAAAAATAAATTAGATATTCTTTGTATATAGTTAAACATTTACACAAATGCAATGGCTTTAACTTTTTTTTATCTTATAGTTTTGTAGGTCAGAAATCAAGAAAGAGTTTAACTGGGTGAAATTTCAAAGTATTAGCAGGGTTGTGGTCCTTTGTGGTGGTTCAGGGAGGGATATATTTCTTTGCCTTTTCCAGGTGCTACAGGCTGCCTTTGCTTGGGTCGTAGCCTCTTTCCTCTGTGTTCAAAACTAGCATCCATGATTGACATTGTTCTTGAGTTGTACCTCTTTAATCCCCTTTTTTTCTTTCTTAAGGACTCCTATGATTAGATTGAGTTGATCCAGATAATTCAGGATAATTCAGGATAAGATATCCAGAATCTCAAGGTTTTTAAACTTAATCACAGCTGCAAAGTGTCCTTTGTGTGTAAGGTAATTTCTACACAGGCCTTGAGCGTTAGAAATAGATATATCTGAAGAACTATTATTCTACTAGCCACACCTACATTGCTGATTTTCTGATTTAAGTTATCTTTAGTGCCTAACATGTGAAAAATTTGCCTTGAAGTTACATAGTGAAGTCCTTTTAAGTCATTTTAGTTCTGGGCTTTAAGAATGTATTAATCTGGATCACATTATTAAAGGGGATTGTATAAATGAGGAAGATGTAAATTATGTAGAGATCTAATAAAATGTCACTAAGTACATGTAAAAGCATGGAGCTGATGAAATATACTATAACAAAGGGCAGAAATTTTACTTTATTCTTAATAAAGAACAGTAAATCCTAAGAGTCTATTTGTGCTGTGCTCTGCAAGTCACTATGGAAAATAATAGCCATTTTCAGCAGGGAGTTTAACATAGGCTCTTAAAGCTCCCCTCTCATCGTGTGAAACAGTAGGATTGAGGGTGTAATCCATTAGAATTGACACTTTTGTAGAGGAAATTCCAATAGGGAATCCCTGGGTAGAACAGATTTCCCATTGGGGTGCTATAAATTAAGCTTGGAGGTGATTCCTGAGAACTTACAGGTTACTATTAATTAAATGAGAATTTTGATTGCTTGTGGATGAGTCATTTTTTTTAGATGTCTTTTTTAGAGGTAGACTTGTGAATGACTTGTGAGACATTTTCAATCATAGTGTTTATAAATGATAGTTTGCCAACTATATTTTATTAACAGATACAGCAGTTATATGAGATAATTGAAGTAATTGCTATTGTCATTACACTTTTAATTATTATATTTTAAATCTATTATATTAAGTGTATGGTCACATTTAATGTATTATAAAAGTTTTATGGACAGATATGTGTGTATACATTACTTAATTAGAAAATAAAACACAAAATACAAAGGTAAGTCACAGGTTTGCTGAAGCACATAATAAATTAACAAAAAAATGATTAACATCTGCTTAGCTTTCCTCTTACATATTAATGAAGAAAAGAAATATAGCATAATAAAGAATTAAGTAGGTAATGAACAACTAGCAGAAAGAAGAGTCTGTGTACATGGCATTTGTCAGTGGAGGTTAACTGTCCAGAATACATGGAGAAACCTAAATCAATTGACAAGCTAAGGGTAATAGGCAGAAATGGAGTGTGCAGTTTGCTTAAAGAGAAACTCATGCTGGTATATAAAAAAAAAACTGTTTATAGTCTAGTTAATTAGCATTATTTTAAAAATCATTTTACAAATCTGGAAACAGATTCCAGGCAGATTGAGTAATTGACACATATTTGCCCAAGATGATTGTGGATGGACCCTGCCGCAGGCTATTACTACTCGAAATTCGCAGGTGATACGTTTTGCAAGCCTCTCTTTTTTTTTTTCTCATTACTCACAGTATTTTGAAACACGCAGGGAAAGTATTCTCTGTATGGATATAGTAATACAACTACAACGCAGAAGGATTAGAGAAGTGTGGAAAAGCCAATAGTTGTAATACAAATGTTGGTTCAAGCTTTGGCATTTCCTTTCACTTGACAAACTGCCTTTGGACCATTCTGACTGACCAATTACTCCCTGAGTACACAGGCATTTCATTTGTAGATTTTTTATTCACTTTTATTCATCCCTGTGGGGATTGCTGTGATTTTGGTTATAATGAAACTAGACTTTGTTCCTTTTTGGTATCAATATAAGTTAAGTGATTAAAAAGAACACAAATGATTTTTTTCTTTCCTTGTATTTTCCTAATGTCTATTGTATTCAATAAAGTCTTATCTGAGGCTCAATATTTATTTTAAGATTCTCTCTACATGGAGTAGTTGTAAGTATCCTAACATAAGAGGATATGAAATTTCTTTCAGAGCTCATATATAAAATAGTGAACATCTGACTCTCCAGAATAATAAACGTGACACTTTTTGAGTTATTTCTGTCCTTAGGTTTGCTCCTCTAATGGCATTTTAAATCAACTGTTTTTCAAATGTCTTTCTGTATGTTTTTATTAAATGCTGTTGTTTAGCCTGAAATGTAGCTCAGCAGTAAATACCTGTTGGCAAGTGCAGGGTTCTGAGTTTGATTCCCAGTATTCAAAAAAATGCTGTTGTTGATTTCTGTGTTTGATCATAGGCATAGTGGAAAAATATCTATATATATGAGAGACCAAGTTCAGTAATAAATTAATAGTTTGTGTATCCTTAAATGTAAATAATATGAGGCCAGATATTATTTAAAACACTATATCATATACTATAAAATAAGAACATTATATTATTCATATTTTAGAGATTAGTATTCCTATCATTCCATGTATTTGCCACTAGATTATATAATTTTTTCTTCAT